ATCAGTTCTCAAGGCAAATGTGCTGCCTACAAATGTCGTCTTCCTGCAGGAGGCAGATTTGCTGTCCTGGTCTCCCCACAAGAGACCGTGCAGTCCTTCATATTTACCAGTTGGCCTGAGGGTTCTACTCCGCCAAGATTGGCAGGAGGGTTCGGGGTGACTCCCTAGGATTTACTGGTGGCTAAGAAGCCTTTTAATTTTAGAGCTAGTTGTGGGGAGGAAACTGTAGGATTTTTACATTTTCCTGCTAGATGGTAAAACTTTAGGATGAGTGTAACTGAAGTGTAACTGGGGGCTCACCTGTGTCTGGGAAGTAAGGTCTACAGCTCTTTTTTCCCTCACGACAGGTGACTGCTTGCTCCCAAAACTCTGATTAAAGAGTACTAGATTCTCCCCAGACATAGTGGTGGCTTCTGCCTGTAGTTCCAGCACTCAAGAGGCTGAGGCAGGACTTGTGAATTTGACGTTAGCCTGGGCTACAAAGTGAGCTGCATAGTCTCAAAAAAGAAAAGGGGTGGGGGCTGAATGTGGTGGTGCATGCCTGTAATATCAGCACGTGGGAGGCAGAGGCAGGTTGGTCTCTGGGTTCAAGGCCATCCAAGTCCATATAGTGAATTCTAGGCTAGCCAGGGCTACATAGTAAGACCCCATTTCAAAAAAGAAAATAAGAAAGCAAGGGAGAAATAGTTCTTATGGCTTCCTGGCCTGGCTCCACCTGATAGGGACATGACAGCCCCATCCGATAGCCTGCGGTGACCAGTCTGAGCCTCTTTTTAGATGCGGGTTCTCCTGAGATTCCTGTTTTCACTATGCCTTTCTGTTCCACCATTGTTCAGTTCTAACAGTTAGGAGCCCAGATAGACTAGGCTCAGCTTCTTTTCCCGCAAAGCCTGAGCCTAGTGGCTCACAACTACCCTATACTCTAGCACTCAGGAGACTGAGGCAGGAGGATCATGAGTTTCAGGCATGCCTAGACTACATAGGAGACCCTGTATCAACTCCTCTCCCCACCAAAAACAGAGACCAAAGGGACAAGAGCATGGCGAGGACAGGAAGGAGCGTGAGGAGGATGGGAAGGAGTGTGGGGAGGACGGGAAGGAGTGTGGGGAGGACGGGAAGGAGCATGGGGAGGACAGTAAGGAGCATGGGGAGGACGAGAAGGAGCGTGAGGAGGACGGGAAGGAGCGTGAGGAGGACGGGAAGGAGCATGGGGAGGACGGGAAGGAGCATGGGGAGGACGGGAAGGAGCGTGAGGAGGACGGGAAGGAGCGTGAGGAGGACGGGAAGGAGCGTGGGGAGGACGGAAAGGAGCGTGGGGAGGACGGAAAGGAGCGTGGGGAGGACGGGAAGGAGCGTGGGGAGGACGGGAAGGAGCGTGGGGAGGACGGGAAGGAGCGTGGGGAGGACGGGAAGGAGCGTGGGGAGGACGGGAAGGAGCGTGGGGAGGACGGGAAGGAGCGTGGGGAGGACGGGAAGGAGTGTGGGGAGGACGGGAAGGAGTGTGGGGAGGACGGAAAGGAGCTTTATTAAACAGGCAGGGTGACCACACCAGGAACAGCAGTGATCTAAGAACCTAGGCTCTCAGCTGCCCACAGCAGTCCTGGGCACACAGAGGAGACACAAAGGATTCCAGGGTGTCTTGGGCTGGCTGGCCTTCGCTGGTTGATCCTTACCTTGGGCCGCATTGGTGCCGACAGTCAGTCTGTTACAGTTCCTGAAGTCCAGAGGAAGTCACAAAGACTCAGGAGAACTCACAAGAAAGGAAAAGAAACAAGATGGAGTCCTAAACATACCGGAGGGCTGGTGAGGGCCAGCAGGTAAAGGCACCTGCTTCCAAGCCTGACGACCTGAGTTCAGACCTGGGAAGCCACATGGGGAAAGGAGAGAACTGACCCCCACGGGTTGTCCTCGGCCCTCCACACACATATGATGGCACAGACAGGTTCCTCTTGCCCCTCACACCCACACAAAATAAACAAACATAAGGAGAAAAACTGGGCGCTGGAGAGAAGGCTCAGTAGTTAGTAGTAGCCCTGACTACTCTTCAAAAGGACCAGGGTTCAATTCCCAGCACCCACATGGCAGCTCACAACTGTCTGTGACTCCAGTTCCAGGGGATCCAACGCCCTCACACAGACAGACATGCAGGCAAAATTCCAATGCTCATAAAATTAAAAATGTCATTTGAGAAAAAGCAAAATCAAAATGTTGTTAGCTGGATTAGTCCCTGGGTCTACGTTAAGCCCTCTGTCATTACTCCATTTCTGTGGAGTACATTTCCTCTCTCCTTAAGGGACCAGAAACCTGTCTCCACATAACCTCCTCCGTCTCCCTGCCCCTTGAGAAGGCTTCAGACCTGCTCATCCTCTCCCAGGTTCTTCCTCAGGGGGAGTTTATGCTGGAGCACCAACCTGCTGCCGTGGAGTCTGAGATGAGATGGGAAGCAACCCATAGCCACACAAACACACACCGTCACCATCCCGAGAAACGGGTTGAAAACACAGAAGAAACAGGAAGAATTAACCTAAACAGGGCAACTAGAGAAGGTCACGTGAGGATCGGGACTGATAGTTAAACTGATTTGTGTAGAGATCCCCAGAGAGAAAACTCTAGAAGATTTAGGGGAATGGGAAGAGAGAAATGGGATTAGAAGGGGGGGGTGTCCTACATGTGTTTAGAATTGTATCCCAAGAACAGAGGGAAAGAGCTGAAAGGTTGTATATCTGGGAAGATGCCTGGGGAGAGTAAAAGACTGAAAGATGACAAAGGACAAGGGAACAGATGGAAGAAGCGTTCGGAATTCTGGTGGGTTACTACTCATTCGGGAGCAGGAAGTACCAACGTAGACAGACTGAGCACCTGTGTGGATAGCACCCCAGCGTGTGTCTCAGATAGACAAGGCACCAGCCACAGCAAGTTTTCAGTAGTGTACCTTATTCGTTCATGATGGGGGAGCTGGAGGTGTCACTGCTAAGAAGCAAGAAATGAAAGGGAAAGCTACCTGAACGGGGGTGGGTTTGGAGGTCAAGAGTTTGGAGAGGAAGTAGGATGGGGCTGCATGGTGTTTTCACATGCTCCGAGAGTGGAGCTCGGCACGTGCTCTACCCACTGGTCTACATCCCCCGGTCCAAATTTGGAGTTGTTGTTTCATTTTGAGATGCTGAGAGACGTCAGATGAAAATCTCAAGTTGAGGACCGGACAGAGCCCAGCAGCTCGGGTGTAAGCACACCGTTGGAATTTAAAGCCGGGGAATGTATGTGCTGTGGTTTGAGCCCGAAGCCGCCTGGGCCATGCCTGAGTCAGGCGGTCAGCCAAAAGATAGCAGAGAGCAGACCCCAGCAACAGCAGGCAGGTCAGGAGGGTGTGGGTCAGGGAGGCTCAGGCTGGCTGCTGGGGTGTAAGCTAGAATGGATGTTTGTGAAGACAGCGGGCCTTCAGAGCAGGCGTGTCCTCCCAGGCTCTGCAAGAAGAGAGGCTTGCACGGTCTGGCAGGGACTGACCTTTCCTCCTCAGGCCTTTGTCCTGAACGTCTCCCCACTCAGTCATCGTTGTCCTATGACTGTGTTTCTAGAACACTCAGCACTTGCCTGTAACTGTTTTCCCCTGTCTGCGATGATTCCCAAATGCGTGCTGACCCCTCCTCTGGCCTTTTGCCTTTCCTCCGCTTTCCTGGCAGTGCAGCTGTTTCACAGTTGAGGCACGGGTGCCCTCTGTTGGTCTGTCCTGAAACTGCGTCAAATCAAGTTCCCTCCCGCACCTGCCTGAAAACTCTTCTCAGGATCTGTGCAGTATTACAGCCAGCCCTCCAGATCCCTGGGTTCTATTCTGGGGTGGGGGTGGGGGGCAGCAGGAGGAACAGTGAGGTTGGTATGGTACCGGGGCATGTTAGGAGAGCTGCCACAGGGCAGGACACCTTGAAGGTTATAGGACTTCAGCTTGTGGCCCCACAACCTCTGGTTCTCCACAGATGGCTCCGGGCAGAGTCTGGTGTAGTTATGCTCCACGTTAACGTGGTTCTGGCCGCTGCCGTGAAACAGCTCCGCCTGAACTACACACAAGATGACTTTGTGGGTCAGCCTGTAGCATCTAAGAGGACTGTGGGCTTGGAGACAGAAGTCAAGTATGGTACCAAAGTGTTTATGAAACTTCGAGAGCAGGTCATGGTCATCTGGGATGCAGAAGGGTACAGGGGCACAGGCCGTGGGGCAGAGGACATGTTAGCTATGGGTTCCTGATGAACACCGCCCTGGGGAGCTCAGTGGGTACCCATCATGTGGATTTGGACTTCAGTATGGTAGAGCTGGAGATAAAGAGTTGGAGATTATCATCACTAGGTGGTATTTAAACTCAGCATGAGACACTGTAGATGAAAAAGACCAGGAACTCAGGAACTGGTCCTGTCACCCTGCACAGGGCTCCTCAAGAAAGGAAGGCAAAGTCAGAAAGGTGGAAGAGTGTACTACCTGGAGCTGGGCCCAGCGGCCACAGCCTGTGATCCCAGCAGCTATTGGGAGGCTGAGGAAGAACCAGCCCCCAGATGGCCTATGCAGGAAGACCTGCCTATTCTGTTCCGTTGAAGTTTTAAAAAGAGGGACTGGGGCACAAGTGGGTGATAGCGTGCTCGCTAGGAGGCTCCGTTCAGTTCCCAGTTCCACAAAAGAATGAAGAAGGGGTGGGGAGGCAGCCGTCACAGGGAGTCAAGTGAAGGAAATGTTCATGAGAGGATCAGATCTTCCAGCCAAGCACCCCCATGCACTGGGGGGGCTGCAGCAGGAAGATTACGAATTCAGCTTCCTGTCTTAGGAAGTGGGGGAGAAGAAAGGGAGAAGCCTGGGGAAGGAGAGGAAAAAGAGAAAGTGGAGTAAGGGGAAAGAGAGAAAACAAGTAATCCATGCTGTCCAACGCTGTATGTAAGCTGAATGAGGATTGGAATGCAACCACGGTTTCTCTAGCACTCCTGCAACTTATAGTAAAATATCTTGTCATCCCCCTCCCCCAGGTTGTGGCAGATACCAATATAAGTGCCATAGCAACTCAGCTTGAAATCATGTCTACAGGCTCCCAGCTTGGCTCTCCGACTGCTGACGGCCATCCGGAAGACACGGAGTGAGTATTCTAATGCAGAGCGGGCCCAGCTCCTGAGCTCCAGGTTCTAAGGTGTATGCGATGTCGAAGTAGAGAAATGTGCATGCTGCGTTTTCCGGATCTAGACTAGGTCTGACCAGGTACCAGGGCTCCTCATTTCACACAAAGCTATGTTCCACCCTAGGATCCTTCAGAGACCACGGCAGGGCCGGTGCTCACACTGTTCTTTGGTTTTTTTGACACGAGCCTGTGCTCTCTATCCTAAGGAACTGCAGGCTGATAGCCCAGGTCCACCCTGCTCTAAGATGCAAGGAGTCACATTTCCTTAACTCACTAAGCTAAAACCTTGTTCCGAGGTGAGATCTTGCTGACGTGTGTCATTACAGCTAGAACTGCAGTGGTGTAAGAATAAGAATGGGAGGCCAGCAAGATGGCTTAGCAGGTAAAGGCACTTGCCACCAAGCCTGATGGCCCGACTTCCATCCCTACGTCCCACATAGTAGAAGGAGAAAACCAACTCACAAACTGTCCTCTGCTCGTGGAGACTCTGAGGACATGGTCCCCAGGAGAGTCGGGCATCTGGTCTTAGCAGGTTCCCTAGGGTTATTCTACCAGACAGGCGGAGGCCAGCTGCACTGTGAGCACCGCTGCCTGAAGCTGTCCCTCACTCCCAGCACCTGGTCGCAGTGTGTGCTCAGCACATGTTGTTGGTTGATAGTTCACTTAAGGGGCTCATGGTCACAGCCATCCACAAGGGGCTTTACTTAGGGGGTCTTAGTTTATCAGTCTAAATGATACTTTGGGATGTGTCTGATAAAGAATATTAACTTAGCTCTACCTTTTCCTCATAATACATGCCATCAGATGTGCTGAAATACTAAAATAGCATTTCTGTAGAACAGAGTCAGAGAGGAGAGACCAGGGCTGTCGCTCAGTTGGTAGAGTGCTCCCTAGCGTTTCCAGGGCCCTGGGTTCAGTTCTCAGTACCGAATGACACTGAACATGGTAACCCACACTGAGAACCCCAGTACCCAAGAGCTAGGGCAGAAGGGCCAGACGTCCAAACTCAGTCTTGATTTATATAGCAAGCTTAAGACAAGTCTTGAGTACATGACATCCTATCTGTAAAAAAGAAAAAGAAAAAAGAAAGAAAGAGAAAGAAAGAAAGAAAGAAAGAAAGAAAGAAAGAAAGAAAGAAAGAAAAGAAAGAAAGAAAAAAGAAAGAGAGAAAAAATCTCATACACGTAGTCCCAGCACTTGGGGCTGATGTTGGCGCTTTGCAAGGCAAAGGCCACCCTGAGCTGCATGATGAAAACAGTAAGATTAAAGCCCAGGTCTTCATGGAAGAATAGTGCTGCCCTTCTCTCTGGTCCTTTGCTCTAACTCCACAGCTTCTGGGAGGGAGCTGTCAGCACAAACAGATCCACAGCTAACATCGGAGTGTATTAAAAAAACGAGTCTCTGCCAGGCATAGTGGTCACGCCTTTAATCCCAGCGCCAGGGAGGGAGAGGAAGTACTCTATGAGTTCATAATAGAGAAGTACTCTATGAGCTACATAATCGAGAAACCCTGGTTTGAAAGAAAGAGGGCCTGAGAGATGGCTCAGTGGCTAAGAGCATTGGCAGAAGTCCTGAGTTCAATTCCCAACTGTATGGTGGCTCACAACCATCTATAGTGGGATCAGATGCCCTCTTCTGGCATGAAGTGTCCATGCAGATAGAGTACCATATACATAAAATAAATAAATCTTAATTATTTTTTTTAAAGTGAAAGAGAGAGAAGGAAATGTTAAGGCAGGGCTTGAGAAGGTAGCTCAGAGGTTAAGAGCACATACTGTTTTTCAAGAGGACCTGAGTTCAGTTCCCAGCAGCTGCATTAGGCCGTTTGCGGTCACCTACAACTCCAGCTCCAAATGAGCCAACACCCTCTTCTTGACTCTGCAGGTATCTGCATTCCCACAGACACACAAACACCACATATTCTTAATTATAAAAATAATTTTCAAAGAAGAAATATTAAGGTATTATGAGGTAAATTGACATGCTCCAGATGACACACGCTCCAGATTGCGAGTGGGCCCAGGTGTGCAGGTCCTAAGGACTAGGTGGCCCTGGGACTAGTTCTAATCTGATAACCTTGAGCACCTTAATTTCTCTCCCAATGTCCTTGGCAAGGGGGGTCATGTCTGCAAAAGCAGCCAGAATCAGGCTGGGTCCAGCTGCTAGGCCATCGCTGAGCATGCTCATGAGGCCACAGAGAAAGAAAGGCCTAGCCTTACTCCTGATGTCATCACCGTTCCATGTAGGGACAGTTTATTATTTCAACAGATGTTTATTGAGCACCTCTCTAAGGCCAGGCACTGTCCTGGAACTGAGTTCTGAGGATTCAAACACAGGAATGTTTGTAAAGATGTAGCCCTACCTAGCCTGAATGGAAAAGTAGACCTGTAAACTAATGACTATGGAAGGACTAGTAAGGGTAATTAAGTTTAGGGAGCTCAGGGCCCTTGAAGCCATTGCCATGGGGCCTGACTTGGGGTGTGTGTTGGTGGGGGTAATTGGAGAAGCTAACAGTGAGTTCTGAAAGAATCAGGCTAAGCAGGGTGGCATTCAAAACCATCTACAATTTGTACAGCACAGACTACAGCAGTGGACAACTGCTATTTAAAAAATAAAATTACATCAACAAGCAATGATTACTAGTGTCAGCCAGATGGAAACCAACCCAAAAATAAGTTAGGCAAACTTCCAGGGGATGTTTAATCAGAACCGCATAATCAAAGGTCAAATACCCCTTCACAGTTTTCTGATCCGTGAATGGCTGAGTTCGTAACAAGTGACTCTGCCTCTCAGACGTGCATGCTGCCACAAAACAAGGTATGTTGTCAGTACGGACTGTGTACATCCTGGAACCAGGCAGGCATGGTGATCCACACCTGTAATCCCAGCACTGGAGAAGCAGAAGCAGGAGGATCACTGTGAGTTTAAGGCCAGATAGGGCTATATGGCACAGCCCTGTCTCAAAAGGAAAAGAAAAAGACCCTCCCACCACAAACCAGAAGGAAGGGATGGAGACCCCAGAATTCCTTTGGGTTTTAACCCTTTGGATAGCATAATATGGGGAGAAGGGCTGAGACGTAACTCAGTTGGTACAGCACTTGCCTAGCATGCATGAAGCCTTTGGTTTGATCCCCAGTACCACATAAAACGAAGCCTGATGTTCCAAGCCTCTAATCCCAGCCGTTGGGAGATGGAAACATAAGGATCAGAAATTCAAGGTTACCCTTGGCTACAAAGCCAGTTCAGGGCCAGCACTGGCTACATGAGACCCTGTGTCAAAAGAAAACTAGTAAGCTGAGATTAGATGGCTTGCGCACACATGGGTGATTTAAATTTTTGTAATGTTGTCTGAGAGAGAAGACTTCCACACTGACGAAAATCTTAGTCACACATTTGGAACAGGTTGTCTTGACCCATCTTGCTTCACACTGGTGACCCACTTCTCTCCTGGATCTTAGTTCCTGTTTATACAGCTATGGTCATGAGTTTCCTGGGAGCACGTGGATAGCTAAGATAGAAAGAACAGGTAGCCAGGGAGAGGGAAAGATGTGCTAATTACAATAGTGTGGAATCGGGACCAGGGACAGAATGACTGGGCCCATCCTCCTGAAGGATGCAGGTGGACTGGGAAGAGGGTCTTCCCACCCTAGGAGGAGCGCTGGGGCACTTGGACAGGAAAGGGCATCAGTTCCCAAGTGCTAGCCTGTCACTAAAGTTAGGGGCTCATCTAGGGAGGGCAGGCTTCCATCATGCCGGCCTGACCTGTGTACTACTGGCTGTGCAATCCACTCGTCTCCTCCTCCTTTAAACAGAGTAGGTCAGATTTGAAACCACAGCATAGCTCTGGATTTTTGACTAAGATAAGGTTAAAAGCTTATCTGGGTGTGAGGTGGCTCATGCCTGTGATCCTCACACTCAGGAGGCTGAGGAAAGAATATTGATTGCTGTGAGTTCAAGGCTAGTCAGAGCTACGGAATGAGTTCCAGGTTAACCTGAGCTACAGCTCAAAGCATGATTCAAAATGGGGGGAGGGGGCTTGGCAAGATGGCTCGGTGGGTAAAGGCACTGACTGCCAAGACTGGCAACCCGAGTTCAGTCCCCAGAACCCCATGGTAGAAGACAGACATGAGCCCTAAAAGTTGTTCTCTGACTTTGACATGTACATGCACACAAGCACAATAAAGTATATATATGTTACATATAACACATTTAAAATTAGGCCAAGCAGCCAGGAGATGGTAGCTCATGCCTTTAATCCCAGAACTCGGGAGGCAGAAGCCAGTGGATCTCTGTGAGTTCAAGGCCAGCCTGGTCTACAGAGTGAGATCCAGGACAGCCAGAGCTGTTAGATATAGAAACTCTGTCTTGAAAAAAACCAAAAAAAAAAAAAAAAAGAAAGAAAGAAAGAAAGAAAGAAAAAAACTGTACCAAGCCTTGTCATACATGCCTAGAATGCCAAGAATTCCAGTTGCTCAGGACACTGAGGCAGGAGCATCATGATCTCAAGGCCAGCCTGAGCTACATGGTGACCCTTCATAACTTAGCAAAACCTGTCTCAAAAATAAACTAGAATAAAAAGAAAACAGGCTAGGGGTGTAGCTCAGTGCTGCAGCTCCTAGGAGCCTAGCAGGCACAAGGCCATTGGTACGATCTCCGGTACCACACACACACCACACAGACAAGAGGCCAGCCTAGGCTACACAAGATCCCATCGGAATGACATAAAGTGAATGAATTAAGAGGCAAGCATAAAGATGGGTATAATAGCTGATGCCCAAAATCTCGGAACTTAGGAGGCTAAAGGCAAGAGGTTAAGATGTTCAAGGCCAACTCAGGTCACATAAGAAAGGAGGAGGTCGAAGCCATGCATGGGGAAAGGTGTGTTGCCGTTGTAGTGACTATTTTAATTAGAAAGCAGTGGACTCTTTGCAAGAGAGAGCCCTAAACCACAAGAACATTGGTGATGAGCTGATGTGGCACGAAAAATGTACATTTCCAGATCGCTCGCTCAGAGTCTGATTTGATAAAATGGCATTCATAGCTTCTCAGTATGGAAGTCTCTCTCAAATCTGTGTGCTTCCATTAAAATGAACTCCCTATCAGTGTCTGCCCTCAAATTAAACAGCATGCATTGTGCTTTCAGAACACCTGCACCTAAGATTATTACTTTGGAGAAAGGCTCTGCAGGATTGGGGCTTAGTATTGTAGGGGGTTATGGAAGTCCACACGGAGACCTGCCAATTTATGTCAAGACTATATTTGCAAAGGTATTTTTTTCCTTTTTACTGTTCTTTTAAAATCAAAGCTAGTGAGATTCTTAAGTGCTTTGTACTGGCTTGCTGTGGGTTGCGCTAATGGGAGGGTGGTATTTCATTTAGGTCTCATAGGAAACCGCCTACCAGGGAAGACAGTGTCACAGCAGTGGGATCCTAAGAAGCAGTTTTCTTTGTACTGTGGTGAGGAAGCTGGCACTCACAGATCTGAGGAGCATCTTCAGCAGCGCCCGCTCTGGAGGCTGACTTCGGATGCATTATTCTAGGCTGAAAGGGATTCAGCTTTGTGCTTTAAGAAAGAAAATCAGGGTCTTGGTGTGGTGGTGCACACCTTTGATCCCAACACTTACACTCAGGAGGCAGAGACAATTGGATCTCTGTGAGTTCAAGGCCAACCTGGTCTACAGAGTGAGTTCCAGAAGAGAGTGGGGGATGGGGATATCATGGGGCTATAGAGCTGGCTTAGTGGGTAAGGCGCCTGCTTTGCAAGCATGAAGACCTGAGTTGAGATGGCCAGCACTCACAGAGAGCAGCACTGTGGGGCAGAGACAGGCGGTCCCAGGCTCTCAAGCCAGCCAGTCCAGCTGAAGGGTGAGCTCCAGGTGTGAGAGACATTATCTCAAAAAGTAAAAGTGGGAATAAATAAGGATAAGGATAGAGGAAGATACCCAACATTAGCCTCTAGCCTCCACAAAAAATCATGCAGAGGCCGGCACACACAACTTCATGTATACACACACACACACACACACACACACAACTTCATGTGTACGTACTCACACAATGCCAGGCAGCAGAGAGCTGGGGTAGAAGCTCTGCAATCTTCAGATCACTGAGAAATTGTTGGCTTAAGTTTCTCCGCTGGGTACTTGATAAGCTGGTCTAATACCGAATCATAGGGATTCAGGAAGTAAACACTATTTCCAAACCAGGTATGGGCACACACCTGTAATCCCAGCACTCAGAAGGCTGACACAGGTCATCACTGTACGTTCAAGGTCAACCTGGGCTACATTTTAGAACCTGTCTTAAATAAAGAAAATAAAAGAGCAAATAACAACCTCACACTACTCTCAGCATGCCCCCGGTAATCAGTGTCCTCTACTCCTGCTGCTTCTGTATGGCTTCTAGAATAATCACTTTTAATTTCGGTGTGAGTTGTAGATTAGCATTTAATGTATCTTAAACTTTGAAGACCTGTGAAAAGTCCTTAGGATCAACATCCCACCTTTCTCTTTCACTTCTTTGTGAAGTTATGTTTTGGCTCGCTCATGCTGTAACAGCTCATTCAGGCTGCCCTGGAGCTGTCTTGCCTCAACCCTTGATCCCCCCGATCCTACCTGCGGAGTGTGCGATTTCAGGCATGTGCCACCACACCTGGCTTCTTACTGTTCATTTTTAAAACTACAATCGTTTATTCATTAATTGATCCAGTGGCTTTCTATTGAATCACATTCCTAAAGAAATAAAGGCTCTTGATGAAAATATATTGTATGAAGTTCTCACCGAATTAAAAAATATTTTTAAATATTTATTTGTTTGTTTGTTTGTTTTTTTCAAGACAGTGTTTCTCTGTGTAACAGCTCTGGCTGTCCTGGAACTCACTCTGTAGACCAGGCTGGCCTCAAACTCACAGAGATTCGCCTGCCTCTGTTGGGATTAAAGGTGCAAGTCACCATACCCAGCTATTTTTTTAAAAAGAAAGAAAAGGTTTTTATTGTTGTTGTTTTTTGTTTTTGTTTTTGTTTTGTTTGTTTGTTTGTTTGTTTGAGACAAGGTTTCTCTGTGTAGATTTGACTGTCCTGGAACTTACTCTGCAGACCAAGCTGACCTGGAACTCACAGAGATCCACCTGCCTCTGTCTTCCAAGTGCTGGGATTAAAGGCATGCACCACCACGGCATGACAGAAAAGGTTTCCAAAGAAGGAAAGATAGATCCTATATCTTCCTAGAAAGTTTTGCTAATATTAACACAAGCTTGCTGTTACTTGCACACATCTTGCCTGCTACCTGGACTCTTGAATCAATGGGTGTTTGCTTTGGGTAACTCTAGACAGCCCCAGATTTACCCGTGTGTCCCTCTTGGTGGAGTGTGGTTATCGCACCTAGGCAGAAGTGGGACTCGGCCGATGAATGGCAGCGAATCATCAGAGGCGGTTTCACAGGGCTGGTGCCCAGCCTGAGAGTCCGTGAGGCAGATACACACTCTGGCCTCCAAAGACACGTGTGACAGCACAAGTAGTTGTGACCATTATTTGCAGGGGGCACTGTTGCAGTTGGTTGGCTTTTGGCAGCTTCCAGTCTGGAGTGTAAGGCTGCAGGGGCCCCACCATTCTGCGTCTGCCTCCATGATACATCCAGCATGGCTGTGTAGCAGGAATCTTAGAAGGTCTTATTAATAAAATCAAACCTGAGGCCAGTTATTGGGGTGAATGCTGGAAGATCAGAGAAGCAGAACAAGCCACAGCTACCTCACCTCGCCAATTCCTCAGCTGATCCTGTTTCCTCAGACTGGAAGCCTCTGTCCTCATATCCGAATGGATCTCAGCTGAACTGCTGCTAGAAGCCTAAAAGCTTAACCAACCAAATGCTTCTAGTTTCTGGTCCTCACCCCTTATATATCTTTCTGCTTTCTGCCATCACTCCCTGGGATTAAAGGCTCACTTTCTGGGATTAAAGGCGTGAGTCACCATGCCTGGCTGTTTCCAATGTGGCCTTGAACTCACAGAGATCCATTCTGCCTCTGGAATGCTAGGATTAAAGGCGTGTGCTACCACTGCCTATCCTCTATGTTTAATATTGTGGCTGTTCTCTTCTCTGACCCCAGATACATTTATTAGCATGCACAATATTTTGGGGAACACAATACCACCACATGGCTGACTCACTTCATGATGCCCATGCCTTGTTAGCTGTGGTCCAGAAAGCTGGAAGGCCTTTGCCTTGGGCTAGAGAACAGCCAGGTGGCTAGCTGCACCTGTCTGTACTTCCCAGAGGCCAGTGTGGGTGGGGATGTCATCAAAACACATAGCTGAAAGTGACATTGGTATGTATCCCGGTGCGTTTGAAAGCGACCATCTCCAGATATGTTGACACGTGCTTGTGATGGCAGCGTTTGGAAGACTGAGGCCTGGGAGAGAGCACCTTGAAGTTTGAGGCTAGTTTTGGCTGCAGAGTAAGACACTGTCTAAAAATAAATAAATAAATCCAAAAAAGAAAATCAAAGAAGGAAAATAATGAAAGAGACGATCATGACATCGGAGTGGGATGTAGTGAGTGGGAGTGGTGAGCAAACTGAAGTGCTGTGGGAAGCCCTTGGCGGACATCCCCTGGACAGGTGTCCTCTAGAAGCTCCCAACGGAGTAATAGCTCTACTGGTGACTAGTGACTATCCTTGTAAGTTGTTTTCCTTTGGTTTTGTTGGGGGAGTTGTTTCACTTTTGAGATAGGAGCTCATGTAGCTCAGGCTGGCCTTGAACTCTCGATGTAGCCAAGGATGACCTTGAACCACCCCCATCTACTCCATCCCATCCCCCTACCCCAAGGCCCTGCACCCAATACCTAGATTGCAGGCATAAGTCACCACACCTAGCTTGGTTTTGGGAGTTGTTTGTTTGTGGTGTATTTTATTTTTTAAGGGATGTGTTCTTTTGTTTTGCTTTGCTTTGCTTTGCTTTGCTTTTTGAGATAAGGTTTCTCTGTAGCCCTGACTGTCCTAGAACTAGCTCTGTAGATCCTCCTGCCTCTCTGCCTCCTAAGTGCTGGGATTCAGGGCATGCACCTACCTGGAATGTGATTTTTTTTTTTTTTTTTTTTTTTTTTTGGTTTTTTGAGACAGGGTTTCCCTGTGTAGCTTTGCTCCTTTCCTGAAACTCACTTGGTAGCCCAGGCTGGCCTTGAACTCATGGAGGTCCGCCTGTCTCTGCCTCCCAAATGCTGGGATTAAAGGCGTGCACCACCACCACCACCACCACCACCACCACCACCACCACCACCACCACCGACGTGATTTTTTTTTTTAAGTGAAACCTACCTAAAAATTAAAATTTCTGAATTTAAAAAAAGAAAAACAATGTCTAAGCCCTGGTTCCTAGCCCACTTGGTGTAGTCAGTCTTAGTAGAAGGCTGCTCCTGGGGCTGTCAAGATGGTTCAGTTGCTGCAGGAACTTGTCTGCAAGCTTGGTGGCTTGTCTTTGATCCCCCAAACCAACATGGTGGAAAGAAAGGGCTGACTCCCAAAAGTTGTCCTCTGACCTCCACACATGCGTGACAGATGTGTGCGCGCACACACACACACACACACTAAATGTAAAAATATTCTGAAAGCATATTCCAGTGCAAATAACAACAACCACCGTTACTTCTGGCCCTGTAGCATTGGACATCACTGAGCCTTCCTTTTTTCCTTTTGCTCGATAAATTTGGCCAGGATATCCGAGTTACAAAATAAATTAGAGAATCAATAAACCTAAAGCTGACATGGATTCTCCCCCCCCCCCCCCCCCCCCCCCCCCCGTAAAGCTTTTCTAAAATGATCCTGGCATTGTTTCTCCCACACACAGAGCATGGAACGCTAATGTACCCCAAGCTGCCTTCAGATAGGACACTTGCCTCAGAATCTCCCCCTTCTCGGGCTTCTGGAGCCGTGAAATGTGGGGTGTGGTTCATACATCAAAACTTTTTGATAATTCTCTTCCTTGACTAAAAGGTTATTTAATGTAGCCCGTAGTGACATGTCTACCTCACAGGTGCTGTGAGCACGTGGAAATTGAGAGTCCCTCTGACTAGCAGGCTCTTAGATGCTGCCAGTCAGTGCGTGATCAGTTGAAAACCTCAAATTCATGAGCTGGAAAGATGGCTCAAGAGTTAGGAGTGTGTGCTGATCTTACACAATTGGGCTCCCAGCACCCAGGCACTCATAACTGCCTGGAGCTGCAGCTGCAGGGGAGTCTGATGACTCTGGCCTCCCTCAGGCACCTGCACTCATGTGCACATACCTACACACACAGGCACGTAGTTTTTTAAAATAAATCTTAGAAAGAAACTTTCAAGTCAAAGCCACCTGAGGTCTTGGTCCTCTCAGCAGCCAACAAGAAATAGGCCTCCTCAAGAGGTAGAGACAGGTGATCTCTATGACTCTGGGGCCAGCCTGGGCTACATAGTGAGTTCTAGGCCAGCAGAGTTACATGGTGGGACCCTGTAGAAAAAGAAAGAAGGAAGGAAAGAAGGGAGGAAGGGAAGAAGAGAGGGAGAAAGAGAGGGAGGGAGAAAGGGATGATGATGATACATGCTAATTTAGGAAATTTAGGGGTGCTGTTTGGAAGCCCTGGGCAGTGTGAGACATGAGTTTGAGCATCATGAGAGCAGACTGAGCATGCCGTATCTGAAGTCTTCAGGACAGCGCTATTTTGGATTTGGGATGTTTTATTCAGATTATAGAATATTAACATATATGGAAGGGAATTCACTAGAGCTTCATATATACTTTATATTATATATAACTGAAGGTAATTTCATGCAATATTTCTAGTAAGTTTGACATGTTTCTTGTTCATAGGGAGCAGCAGCAGAGGATGGCCGATTAAAACGAGGTGACCAGATCTTAGCTGTCAATGGCGAGACCCTGGAAGGTGTTACGCACGAGCAAGCTGTCGCCATTCTACAGCAGCAGAGAGGGACTGTGGCCTTGACTGTGCTGCCGTGAGCACAGGTCCTGATCATGATATATGAGACTATGACAGCATTCTGTGGCTTTCAGTTGGGATGAAAAGTTGCCTCAGCTAAAACTCAGTATCCTCATTGGCTCTGATTCTGTTTGTAGAAACTGGAGCTGCCAGTTCTGCTTCCTAACCCACATCCCTCATTCCCACAGAGGCTTAACTGCACGCGCCTGTGGTTTCCTCTAATGAGTGGAAACAGAGGTTTAGCTTGTCATCTTAACTCGTGATTTGCTTATGCTAATTTGTCTCTTCCAATAAGGCAGAAAACATTAGCAGTGTAATTAACTTCCTCACAATGAACTCTTCATACTCTGCCACTGGGAATCTCTGCAGTCTCTCTCTGTGACTGACTCACAGGCCAGGAGGTGCAAGCCCTGGACCACACTGTAGAGATAAGCAAGTTTAGGCATCCTCAGCCTATTCAGAGTGAGTGACAAGGGTAGTTTGCCTTTCCCTTACCTCCATGCCAGCGTGCCCAGAAGCTCAGCCTGTAGCAGCTGTGTGCAACACTTGAACATAAAGTAACGGAGCAGATGACCTGGGAATCCAGTGCTCAGCTTAAGTTTCCCAGGTTCCTCCTCCTGCTGGCTGAAGTTCTACATCTAAGAAAGTAATCGTAGCAGAGTGTAAGACGACTTGTAGAGTGAAATGGGCTGGAAGGGGGAGATGCTCGTCACTGAGTTCTGTAGAATCTTCTGTTGGAAACAAAGGAGAGTGCCATGAAAGGTGAGCACAAGGTCAGCAATGGCCGTAGTCCGGCATTATTAGCTATAACTCAGTGCTGCATCACCAGGACTTAATGGGCCCTAATGTAAAATGTTATTTAATTAGTGAGGATTTTAACTGAGGTTCCCTTTGAGTAGATGTAACCCCAGAGTGCATTAACTCTTGGTGGAATATTTGTGTGGCTAGTCCAAAGGAGTGCCTCAGTTTTACGTTGACAGAGCATTTCCGTGACTGCTATTAAGGTTTTTGAGATTCCATGGGGTTTTTAGAATTTCTAATGTAGCCAAGACACGTGGTTCTGTTAGGGTCCCGTCTCCCAGTTCAGGAGAAGCCTCCAGCCTCAGTGTTCTGTGGGAATGATGCCTGCAAGAGCACCTCAAGCAGCAGAGGCCGAATGAAGCCCAGGTGAAAATGCACCTTAAAAGATAAAGATAGGGGCTGGAGAGATGGCTCAGAGGTTAAGAGCACTGGCTGCTCTTCCAGAGGTCCTGAGTTCAATTCCCAGCAACCACATGGTGGCTCTCAACCATCTGTAATGAGGTCTGGTGCCCTCTTCTGGTATTCAGGTATATGCAAGCAAGCAGAACACTGTGTATAGATAATAAATAAATAAATCTTTAAAAAAAAAAGATAAAGATAGCTGATTTATGCTCTCCAAGTGTGATTCTGCTTCATTTTGATGGAATGACCTTAAATACACATTTTGAAATAATACATTGTTGTTGTGTCTTTCTTTACACACCATCCTTTTAGGGCATGCTACTAAAAGTCTATCAGTGAAATAATTGTGATCCTTTATGCGTCAAGTTCTTCAGGGGCCCTTTCTCTTTCCACAGGACTAGTGAGGAGTTGCTGTGCTAAAAAAGGTTTGTTGCCCTCAGAACTTACTGTACACCAAGAAGACAGTAATTTGCAAAAGTAGTTTTCTTAAAATAACATATTATTTTTTGGCCATTTAAGTCTACTATTAATGTCACTGACTAGAGATAGCCAAAGAAGTAAAGTGAACTAGAAAAAAATTAAAACTACAGAATGTTTTTATGTATAGATAATTCTAAAGGTTGTAAATCAAGGCAGCTGGCTAAAAGGCAGGCAGAGACATGGTTTATTTTGTTCTTTAGTTCATCTTTTCAGTGTCCTGTTACGATCTGCAGTCTGGGTTAAGGATGTAGCTCAGTATGTAGAACGCCCTCTTCTGACGTCAGTGGGTACTGCAAACACTTGGTGCACAGGTCCACATGCAGGCGAAACACCTCTGCGTATAAAATGAACTATATTTAAAAATAAAAATTGTAGTCTTTTTTAAGAAGATTTATTGTGTGTTTGCCTGCGTGAGTTTTATGTAGCACACAGATGTAAGAGCCCAAGTGGGCCCGGCACAGAACCTTAGATCTCCTACCCCTGGAATTACGGTTGTGAGCCACTATGTAAGCGCGCTGCAGGAGCAGTCAGTGCCCTTGACTTAAGCCTTAGCCGTCTCTCCAGCCTCCAAAATTTCAATCTTGTATTTTTTTTAAGATATAGTTTATTATTTCTAGTTATGGGGGGGACACAGTGTTCACATGAGTGCAGGTTTCCTTGGAGGCATCAGACTCTTTAGGAGCTGGAGTGACACACAGTTGTGAGCCAACTGAGTGGGAGCTGGGAACTGAACTCGGGTCCTCCAGAACAGCAGCACGTGCTCTTAACCACTGAGCCATGTCTCCAGCCCCTTTGTTCCTTTGGTTTTCTGTTTTTGTTTGTTTTGAGATGGGGGTCTCACTATGTAACCCTAGCTGGTCTAGAATTCCCTATAAAGACTAGGGTAACCTCAAACGCATCGAAATCCACCTGCCTCTGCCTCTTGAGTGCTGGGACTAAAGGCATGCCTAAATTCTGTAAAATGAAAATAAATCTTTTTAAAAAGAGACATCTGGCTTTGCTTACAGGAATGCCCCCTCCCCACCTTCCTGCATCCGTGGAATGCACAGCTTTACCCTATCAGTGTCATCCTGCCCTGTACACCTCAGCCCCTGGACCCTTCCTGCACCCGTGGAATGCACAGCTTTACTTCATCAGTGTCATCCTGCCCTGTAGACCTCTGAAATCTCCTGTCCAAAATCCTAGCAAGCCTTCCAAGACAACAGCTTCAAAACCCACCAACATAGGAGACAGCACCATTTTAAAGAGAGTGAAGTGGGACGTTAGGAGAAACCCACACACAAGTCTTAGACTTCCAGAGTCTTCTGTTCCTTAACCCTCTCCTGAAAATCTATATTTAAAATGCTTTTTAATAAACATCAATTCTGCTTCATGTTGGCTCATCTTCCGGAATCCTTTTCTGCGGGAAACCAAGGGTGGGGTTTTACTGCAGTCGGGGTACCTAACAGACTAAGGGAAGTCGGGCTGCTGAAACCGAGAGCTCAGGGCAGGGAAGGCTACCCTGTTTAAGCACCTTTTAGGCAAGAATGAAATCTAGACAAGAGCACCCCATCTTCCTAAACTCTCCTACCACTCCCTGTTGCGGGGCTTTGAAGTAAGAAGCCTGCAATACCTCAGATGAGCGCGTGGTGGCGCAAGAGACACCGCGAGTATGAGGTTTTGACTAGCGCTCCTGGCAGGTAGGTGGGCAAGGAGTCTGACATGGGAGATCCTCCTGCAGTGAGTGGTTTCATGGCTTCTCTGAAGCCAGTTCTCAGATTGTTAGCCTCACATCCAACCAGGCTCTCAACAGACAGAACAGGAAGGAATGTATCCTTCGGAATTGATTTTGGTCCCTAAGGTCAGGTTCCATTGCCTTCCAATTCTCCCCTTCCCATGGACCAGCTGGATCAGTTGCCCTGGACCACCGTGCAGAAATACATGAATGTGAGTGTTTGGGGACTTGGGGCCCCACCCCAACCCCTTTCCCTGCCTCCAGGATGGGCACTGTTGGGGATCCTTGTTGCTAGAAACTAATCGTGTTATTGTGGGGGTGATGTGGGGGGGGACACACATTCTAAATGCTATTGAGGAACTTAATAATAGCAAATTGAACAGTTAGTAAAACTGACCTTTGCTGAGGATGTAACTCAATTGGTCGCCTCGCATGCACAAAGCCCTGGGTTCCATTTCTGGCATAAACTAGGGATGGTGGCACATGCTTGTCATCTGAGCATTCAGGTCACTCGAAGATCAGGAGTTCAAAGTCACCCTATGTTATATAGCAAGTCTGGGGCTACATGAAACCCTGTTTGTTTATACATAAAACCCACAGATGAGATACAATAAGGTCTTTCATGTATCTGCAATATGCATTAAGGGCTCAGGAGCTAGAAACTAGATAAGACGTGTTTCCAGGACAGACATGGTGGTACACACCATAGCCCAGTACTTAGGAGATGGAGGCAAGAGAATTTCTGCAAACTGAGGCCAACTTGTTCTATATAGCAAGTTCCAAGCTAGCCAGAACTACACAGTGAGACCCTGTCTCAAAAAAACCGCACGCACGCACGCACGCACGCACGCATGCATGCATGCATGCATGCACATGTACATAAAAATGAATACATCTTCGAAACGGGAAATTTGCAAGTAAATGGATAGATGTGGAAAATATACTGAGTGCTCTCAACCACTCAGCCACCTCTCCAGCCCCTGGGGTGTTGTTGTTGTTGTTGTTGTTGTTGTTGTTGTTGTTTGGTTTTTCAAGACAGGATTTCTCTGTTTAGTCCTTGCTGCCCTGGAACTCACTTTGTAGACCAGGCTGGCTTGGGTTTTGGTTTTGTTGTTGTCTGAGTCATGACAGAAATGGTAAGTAGGCGGGAGGCTCCTACAGCTTCATCTGTCAGCTTCTGCCAGTTCTAACAGCCCTTTCGTGTTTCTGTCCACAGTGTCTACTCTTTACAGACCTCTCTTATGAATTCTACCCCTGGCTTTGAGCTCCTCCTCCTGGCATGACAAGAACCAATCCCTTAATAGCATCATCTAACAAGATCAGGGCTAAATTTCCCTTTGCTCTCAAATGTTGTGTAGGCTGTGCGTCTCCGTCAGGACTCACACAAGCTCAACAAAGTGAGACCATCTTTGCTTTTGGTTGTTGTGACTGTTATTGTTCTGTTTTTCTTTGCAGCAGGGTTTCATGTAGCCCAGGCTGGCCTCAAACTTGCTAAGTAGCTGAGGTTGGACTAGAATGTTCAATACTCTTACCTCTGCTTTCCAAGTACCAAGATTACAGGCAATTGCCACAGTACCCAGCCTGTTCTAAATTCCTTTTAATAATTGCACAATTGAATTTTAATCTATAGCTTCTTCCCTGTCCTCTACCCCTTCACTTAAAAAGTATTTATTATTTGTGTGTGTGTGTGTGTGTGTGTGTGTGTGTGTGTGTGTGTGTGTGTGTGTGTGTGTGTGTGATGTGTCTGTGTTGGGTACATGCATGTCATAGCACATGAATGGAGCTCAGAGGACAGTTCTCTTCTCTTCTCCTTTTACTTGGTTCCAGGAATGAAACTCAGTTTGCCAGGGTTATAAGGCAAGCACCTTCACAGATGAGTCATCTCGCTCTCTTTCTCTCTTTGATGTGTATTCATTTGTTTGCTTAACTTGGTTTTCAGAGACAGTGTCTCTTGTAGCCCAGGCTGGCTTCAAACTTCAAAATCCTGTCGCCCCTGCCCTCCTCTCCCATGTTCAGAGAATACAGGGACTTGCCCACAAACTCTACTTAGCTTTTGATATTTGCTGTTGAGGAAATTGGGCCAATTTGTGTAGATCAGTGGTAGAGGCCTTGCCTAGCATATTTAAAAGCAAAAAGTCCCCCACCACTACAAATAAAAAGATTAGGGACTAGAGAGATGGCTCAGAGGATGAAGGCACTTGCCACCACTGATGGCCTGAGTTCCAGTTCGGGGACCTGCATGTTGGTGGGAGGGAAGTGACTGATGAAAGTCCTTCTGTGACCACCACACAGGTGCTGTGGTGCACTCACAGACCCCCTACACAAACAGACTAAATAGTAATACAATAGCATTAAAATAAGAACAGTAAGTAGAACATATTTGCAGGACTAATTCTGCAGTCTGAATTGTTGCCTGCATCCCTCCAGTACACCTAATACTGCACTGACTCAAGTGTTTCCCTGAACCCTGACTGGCATTCAGCCTCGAATGTGCACATGTGTGTGTTGCTGAGGACGGAGTCCAGGGCATTTCACACGCAAGGCAAGTGCTCTACCACTGAGCTATATATTTAGATTTCCTCTCTATCTTCGTTTTTTGTTTCTTTTTCGAGACAGGGTTTCTCTGTGTAGCCCTGACTGTCCTGTAACTCACTCTGTAGACCAGGCTGGCCTTGAACTCAGAGATCTGCCTACCTCTGCCTGGAATTAAATCCTGTGCTGGGATTAAAGGCCTGCACCACCACTGCTGGCTCATTTTATTTTTTATTTAAGGGATTTTATTAATGTGGTCATTTAGATGAGAATGGCCCCATAGGCTCATTTGTTTGAATCGTGGGTCCCTAGTTGGTGGAACAGTTTGGGGAAGATTCAGAGATAGGCCTTGTTGGAGAAGATGTGTCACTGGGGGTGGATGGCTTTGAGGTTTCAAAAGAGTGTCGCAGTCCTGGGTCTCTTTCTCTCTCTACCTCATAGCTGTGTCTCAAGATGGAAGTTCTCAGCTAATGCCCGGTGCTGCCTGCCTGCTGCCACACTCTCCACATGATGGTCATGAACTCTAACCTTCTGAAACTGGAAGCCC